AGTTAGAATTTTATTACTAAAATTTAATTGATTAATAAAATATGTAGATAATATAAAACATTTCGATGTAATTTTTTTTATATTACTAAAAATAGGATTTGTGTGCCGGTAAATTTTAAGTCCATAATATACTTTTTAATTTTAAGATATCAAAATATATACTGAATGTTGTATCCATTTCCAAGTGAAAAAGTATAATTTTAAAATCGAAAAAAGTCGGGTCCAAAACGTAATATTATAAATAATATTGTTGCTATAATTTATTATTGTTTTACGATTTGAATAAAATAATTCATAATTCATTATTACCTTTGCATGTCATAATATGTTAATTTCATTATTACTTTCTGTTTAATTAGCTGTTTTTTTTGTTTTTTTCTTCTGTTTTCTTTTATTTTACTAAGCTCTTTTTAATTTAAATTAATTTAAGAATGATTTCATTTTAATATTAGATTCAAGGAGCATTGTTATATTTTCTTTTTGAATGTAACTTTTTATTATCACTTTTATTTACTAAAAGTGATTTTGTTTTTTTTTGTTTTTCTCTTTTTTCATTATAATATTATATAAATACATTTCGAAATGAATTTTATATTTAGACGAAAAAAAATTATAAATATTATACTTTGATTATTAAATATTTATTATTTTTATATATAAATATTATCTAGTCAAAAAGCCATTAAATTTACCTTTAAACTTACACTGAGCCCTTGATTTTTTTTGTGTTACTTTATGATTCTTATTTATTTTTTTTTAAATTTAAAAGCTAACCCTTTATGTTATGAATATATTTTTTTGTTTTAAATTTTTGTATTGATAACTATAAGATTTAAACTCTGGTTTTCTAGTAATTTTATATTATATTTCTATTATAGAAATTTAAATTGTTCATTCTGGGTTTGTTTTTTGTTTATTTGTAACTTTGACAATTACTTTTGCAAAAAATATTGCTGAAATGTAAACATTATTTTAGTTGTCAAAAAAAGAAAATAATTTTTGAAATTAATTAAGTCCTTGTTATAATAATTTATGTCAATATCTTTTTAAAGGATATAAAAAAAAGTCGTTGCAAAACAAACAAAAAAAAATTGCTTCTATTTTAATTTTTCCTTTTTATTTCACTTTAAACTATTATTTATTTTATAACCAAATTATTCTGACATAATTAATAATATGTGATTTTTATTAATTATTAAGAGTTCTTCAAGATGAGTGAATAAAATTGCGTTTTTACAATTTTAATACTATATTTTTTTGCAATGCATATCGGGACTTGTTATATTTTCTATTATCATTACAATTTAAAAAAAAATTAATTCCTTTAAATATAAAATCTACGATTTAACAAATAAAAATATGAACATAATTTCATTTTTTTATTAGTTTCTTGTTTTTATCTGTTTCTTTATTTCTTTTGATGATCCATGGACTAATAAATATCCTGAAAATGATTAAAAATTTGCCGAGAAAATATTAAAACAAGAAACCTTTTTTGTTATAAGAAAAAATAATTTTTAAATATTGTGAATAGTTGCTCCATTATTTTATGTTTTTTCTATTTTTCTATATGTTTGCAGTAGTTACAAAAAAAAAATAATAGGAAAAATATTAAATTATATATATATTTATATTTTCTACTAAATTTATTTAGTTAAGAATATAATTTTCTTCTTTATAAGTTCAAACTTTGTTATTTTTATTTTTTTAATTTTAAAAATATTTTAAGAAGGTTTTTGTTTTTATTCTTTCCTTCGTTTTAATTTTTGATGTTTTCAATTTTAGGTTAAATTATTATTTTTCCTTTCTCTAAGAAAAAATTTTATCAAAATAATTTGATCATAATGATTAATTTATAGAGAAAGAATAGAGAAATAATTTTAAATTTTCTTTATAATACTACTTATATTATTTCTAATATAAATACACTTGTCGATAATCAAATAAAGTATTTAAAAATGAAAAATAAATGTGTAAGAAAAACGATTAAATACATATTTACTATCCTGTCGCTTTGACATGCATTTTCTTTTCATTTCTATTTTTAATTATTTATTTTTTTGTTTTATTGTAATTCTTTGATTCTTTTTTAATGTTATATAGGTTTTTATAATATTTTGTAATAAATATTTTTTCAACTATTATTGAATAATGAACAATATCTCTGTTCGTTAATCTTTTTTGAACATTTTTGTTTTCATTTTTATTTCAAATCATTTTTATATATCAGTTTTTATATCAAAATATCAAACCTTATTTTCTTGATATTTTAACTATAAAATTTTTTAAAATATAAATATTAGCTTATATAATTCGCATTGCAAGCACTTTGTTGTTATTTCTCAAATATGTACATACCACATTTGTAAATTAGTACTTGTCTTTTTAAAAACAATTTTTATATCAGTACAACTTTAATTATGTTATAAGTTTTTGTATCAATTTTTGAATTTTTATTTATCTGCTTCTAAAATAATTGAGAAATTATTTTTAATCGGGCAGACTATCAATATAAATCATATATATTTTTAGCATATAATAGTTACAAATTTTCCTTTTCCTTTTATTAAATTGTTATTGGAAAATTTTTATTTTAATTAAACACACACGTGAGAAAAGTTTTTTTTTTTGATTTGTAAAATAAAAAAGTTTATATTTAATATAATAATATTTAATATATAATACATAAAATATATAAATATATATAATAACTACATTAATTTAAATATAATATACAAATATAGTAATTATAATAATTACACGAAGATTTTATACAACTATGTAAGTATTTTTTTTTTTAATTTTTACTTAATTTTTTTTATTTATAATTAATATAAAATTATATAAGAGAAAAAAAGATAAAAGAATCCTTTATTTTTACATAAATATTATAAAGGTATTCTCTTTTTCTTTTTTTCTAAAAATATGTTATTTCCATTAATTTGTATTTTAATTTTCTAAAACAATAATTTAAGAAGATTTATTTTTATATTAATGCTATTGAAATTCATTTTATAAAATAAAAAGCTTCAAAAATTTATTAAAACTTTTTAACTTTTAATGATAATAAAAACTATATTTAATAAATTTTAAAAGCTTTTCTAATCAACAACAGCTTAAGCAGCCCTAAAGATGTTTTTTCCTAAACTTTTCTTTTTCTTTACATAATTTTTAATTTCTCCTTTTCCTTTGTTTGTTTAGAATTAATTTTACATTCTCATTTTTATTTTGTAAATATTTCTTGACGGTATTTGTAAATATAAACAAACTACGTTTTTTTCTTTAAATTTTAACTCCTTATTTTATCTACTATGTTAAGTGATAATTATAATATAAAAATAAAAATTATAATAATAATAAAAGTTTAAATACAAAATTTTAATAAAATATTAACAAAATAAATTTGAAGTTAAATATGTCATCTTTAAATCAATTTCTTCTTTTTTTACTATGATAAAATTTTGTTTTTTAGTAAAATATCAAAGGACGTTTAATTTTTTTTAAATTGTTTTCTTTTTCATTTATTTATGCCCTTATTTCTTTTATTTATTTATGTTCTTCCCTCCGCGACATTTCAATTATGTATTACGTTTTTAATAAAATTTGAAAAAAATTTGCAAATTTTTAATTTAAAAAATATTTTTGATTTATGAACTGTATTTCTCAAACATGTATATTTATACAAATTCAAAAATTGCTAAATCATAGGAAATTCTATTGACATAAAATTGAAAAATAATATTTTTATCCATTTAGTAGATCATTTAAATAATACAGTTTGTATTTCAAGTTGATTTCATATTCATTTTTATCCATTTTTAATTTAGCCAGAAACTATTTTCAGTATACAATTTAGCTATTTTTTTATTTTGAAATATAATATACATATGTATATTATTTAATTATGTAGTAAAAATTTTTAAATTTAGACTTTTGAAACAGTTGATAAAAGTTTCTAAACAATGGAAATCGTTGTTACAATTAACAGCCGATTTAAAATTCAAAATCTTACTTTTATCTTAAATTTATTTTATAATTATAATACTTTTAGTAAAATTATTGAAATTTAAAATTGTTGGTGTGTAAAATTACGATAGATTTTTTTTAAAGAATTTATAAAACTTGTTTTATTTTTTGTCACTTATAAAAAACTATTTGATTTGAAGAATATATTGTATTTGTGTCTAAGAGAAAACTGCACATTTACACTTTTACCTAAATTATCATTCGTCATATTGATATTTAATTTTTTCAATAGAAGTCAGAATTTGCAAAATTTTTTAAATTATTTACAAATACAGAATCTATAGGACATTACTTTTAAGAACACACAAATTTGGAAACTATTACATATAAAAATATCTTCGAATAGCTTTGATCTTATTACATTAAAATTATTGGATATATACAAAAAATGAGAACCCATTTTTTCATATTATTGTATTTCGAAAATTTCCTCATTCGGGTCAAAGAAGCATAAAACTTTCAATATTTTTTCAGCACTTGGGACTTGTTATAAAAAATTTCAAATGAATTTTCACGTCAGTTCCCTAAAGAACAAAATTACAAAAACGATTGCTATTTAAGTATCAGTTTTGCGTGTTTTAGATATCGTACCTTTACTTAAAGAAAATTATAGTTTTTTACTTTTTATTCACGCTACGAAAATTTTTATTCTCCATTTGATTAAGAATAATTATCGAATATATTTGTTATATCACCAAAGAATCTACATTTAATGGAAAAAAATCAGTAATATTAACATTTTTTCTAATTTTTCGACAAAATTTAAGGAAATTTTTCTGAAATTTAAGGAAGTTTTTCTGAAAATTGGGATTTCAGAAATTTTTAAACATTAAAAATTTTAAGAAAGAATATTAAATTTACTTTAATAGTGTAATTCTATTTATTAACTTTCAATAGACACATACATAGCTAGTTTTAAACTGTAGATAAATAGTTATTTGGAGTTTTAGTAAACTAAATTTAAACTTTGAAACAATTTTTTACTACTTCTACGATGATGTTTTTTGAAAAAATTTTCAAATAAAAGTTTGAAATTCAACTAGACAGTAGTAATAAATCCTAAAGTTAAACACTAGTTTTTTAATTTAATGTTATTTTTTTTTAATTAAATCAATCGCAGAAAATGGCTTTTATTCTACTTGAAAACTTAATTTGCTTAATATTTCTTTCAATACAAACGTATGTTAAGTTATAATAAAAAGATTAGTATAAGTGTTTTTTATTTAATAGCATAATAATAATTTTTCATTTTGAATGTTAAATATTTTTACTTCTATGCTTCGTCTTTATAGTTTTATTTTACGTTTCAAATCTTTTCATGTGTTATATTCTTTTTGTTAATATTTTAGTTATTTGCATTTCAAAGATTTAATTTTCCTTTTCCATTAAATTTTAAATTTAATTAATTATTTACACTTTCGTTTTTCAAAAAATTATGAATAAAAATATGTTTTTAATGTTTAATAAATAGAGTCTCACGTGCGCGGATTCTTCAATCTTTAACATTCTCATCTTTATTAGGTTTAATATTATCAGTGGTTTGCTGTTGTTGCGACTGTTGTTGTGATTGCTGAACCGATTGCTGTTGAACTTGTGCTTGTTGCACAACACTGCCAGCGGAACTAACAGATTGTTGAGACTGTTGTACAACTCCAATATGATGATCAATTTTATTGTCAGTTCCATGCTGTTTATGAGATTGGTCCATGACTTGGTTTGTTTGATGAGCTATAAAAAAATTTTGCATAAAATTAGTAAATTAAAATTTTCAAAAAAAAAAGTCCGAAAACCTTGTCTTCTTGTTGGAGTATATTTTTTTTTATAAAAATAAGGATTGCACATACTTAATTTTTTTAACATAGTACAATTATGTATTATGTTACAAAAATTACAGCAAATTTGAAAGTAAAATTAAAAATTGCAGAAATATTTATTTTTTGGTTTATTTTAATTTTACTTTGACATCACAAAACACATATATAATACATACATACATGTACATATAAATAAGAGAAGTACATAAAAAATGCATAAGTACACAATATTTATAGTACATGTACATACATGTAGACAAAATCTCTAAAACCGCAGAATGTTTTGTTTTTTATTTTATAATAGTTTATTTTTCAATTTTTAATTTAACATACAAAAGAAAATATATAATTAAACTAAAGATTAAAACTTTGTATTTCAAAAACATTTAAAAAAATTTTTACTCCAATTAAAGTAAATTAAAAACAAAGCAAAGAAAAAAAAATACTTCATAGACTGAACTTAAATAACTAATAGGAATAGAACCAAGAAAACTATATAGATATATAAATTTTTTAATTTGGGTTGTAAATCAAGAAATTGCCAATCAAATTATAAATATTATTTCCTTTTGGATACCATAAAAAGCAAAAAATGAAAATCCGGTACTTTTCCTGTTTTTTTTTTCGTTTTTTGTTTTTTTTTTGTTTTGATCGGCTAAAATCTAGAATTACCTCTATTACCACCAGAATTACCATAATAATGTTTATTAATTGGTGGTCCTTGGTTTGGAGGTGGCCCACCTCCACCGACTCCACCTTGGTGAGGAAGCGGTTGTCTCATTGAACGATTTGACTGTGATTGCGATTGTTGTGCTTGTTGTTGTGGAGTTTGGGATTGAGGGGGATGTTGCATTTGCTGTTGATGCTGTGGTGGATAATTTGTCGAGGGTCGTTGTATTGGCGTAGGATATCTTTGCTGTTGTGGTGGAACATTTCCGTTATTATTGTTAGCCAATTGATTAGAAGGTCCATTTGGACCTCGACCTTGTTGTACGTTATTTGAAGGACCAGCTCGATTCGGTTGATTTGGGATGGGTTGTTGAGGAATTTGTTGCATTACTTGGTTTTGTAAGTCCCACTAAAATATAAAACAGCCAAATTTGATTATTTTTAATGTTTATAAAAGTGTATATTTGGTTTTCATGACCATACTTACACTAGGTGCATAGCTTTTGTGGTGAGGAGGGCTTTGTTGCGATTGCACTTGTTTAGCCAGACTTAAACTAACATCACTTCCCAAAGGACTTTTTAGTTGTCTTCCAAGCTAGATTTGAAATGAGTTCTATTAATATTTTAGAAACATATTTTTTTTTTCGAAATATATTAAAACTTACTGAATCTTGCATATGATTTTGCGCCTGGTTCGATTTCATATATGGCGTAGACTGCGGATTTGGTCCTCCACGAAATTGATTAATTGCAGCTGTTGTCAACATTGGGGAATTCATGAACTGTGAGTTAAAATTGGGCATTTGTTGCTGCGGTGGCGGTCCAGGTGGTCCACCACCTGATGGTCCGGGACCTCCTGGAGGCCCCCCATGGCCTCCAAATATACCAGCTGCTGCTTGTAAACTATAATTTTGTGCTGCATTTCCAGCTCCGGTTGGGCCCCCGTAAAAAGCATTTTGGCCACCAGCTGAATTGGAATAATAGCTGTTTGATTGCAATTGAGGTGGTCCAGGTTGCTGGTATAGATTCATATATTGTTGCTGACCAAATGTCGGTGCTGCAATGTTAGCTACAGCCGTAGCGTTATTTTTAGATCCAATTGCTCCGATTTGTTGTGAAGATTTATTTACTGTAGCAGACATTAGAGAGTTTGAATTTGATGATATTAAAACTGTATTGGGATTATTCAATTGCTGAGATTGATTAAAAGGTGGTGGCCCGGTTTGCAATTGTGTTGCTCCACCCATTCTAAACTGCGAAGTTAAATTTTGATACATATCCGGAGGGGGAGCCGGACCTGCTGGCGGCATACTCGGTGCCGTTTGCATATATGCATTATAAGGCGCTGCTGCACTAGCTCCAGCTGTTCCATAATGACCAGGAAATTGGGAAAATTGAGAACGTCCCGAGGAATCTATTTGAAAAGGTGCATAAATGCCGCCTTGAGATGGCATTCCGGATGAGTTGAATAAAACGGTAGCAGGTGGACTTGGTATGGAGGGCATTGTGTTATACTGAGATGGTGGTTGGAAAAACTGTTGATGTGGTTGATGCATTTGAACCGCAGCAGCCACGGCAGCATTTTGTTGTTGCTGTTGTTGAATCGTCGGTGGTGGTGATAACCCTAAACCAGATTGATGCATTTGTTGCTGTTGAGATGATTTTGATTTGTTAGACACAGATAACACAGTCGCGTCTGTAACATGTTTTAAAGTCAAAGGAGTCTGATTCTGAGTATGATGTTGATTTTGAGGTGGTTGCGATTGTTGAGGCTGTTGCTGTTGCTGTTGGGATGTTGGTTGAGTTTGAGATGCATTCCCATGTTGTGGGCTCGGTGTATAACCGGTGGGGTCATTATTTACTGTTTTTTAAATATTTAAAATAAATTAATATCATAACCTACGACTTATATACTTTTTTTATTTACCATCTTGCTTACTGAAATGTTCCAAAGAGGAATCAAATGCGTTTCCTGCATAATTTTGAGGTCCAGGTGATGACATGTGCATATGATGAAGATTAGCAGCAACCTGAGCAGCTGCTACCGCATGAGCCTGTGCTACAAATTGCTCTAATTGTTGTTGTTGCTGATGTTGAGATGATGTCACAAAAGTTGAAGCCAAATGATTATTTGTATCAACATCAACTTGTTGGCCCGTACCACTATGTTCCAACACCGTTGGCATCTGTGGAACGCTTTCCCACACTTTTTTAACACTTGCTATTTTCATATTCAAATCTGCTGTGGAAGGTGATATTGTATTTTGAGATATAGCCTGCGGTTGAGGTGGTTGGGCCTGTTGTTGCTGTTGTTGCTGTTGCTGCTGTTGTTGTTGCTGTTGTTGTTGCTGTTGTTGTTGTTGCTGTTGTTGCTGTTGTTGCTGTTGTTGTTGCTGCTGTTGTTGCTGTTGTTGTTGATGTTGTTGTTGCTGCATAACACTAGAAACGGATGTTCCAGAATTTGATCGATTTAAGGACATACCAGCTGCTGCTACTGCGGCTTTTGCTGCGGCAGCAACTGCAGCCGCTGCAGCAGCGGTATTTTTATCTTCCGCAGACAAATGAGTTCCAAAATCTGCTTCGAAAAAACCCAATTTTATTTCCTTATCATATTCCGATTCGGATGAAGATTTAGTTGATCCAAATGTCATTTGGGAGAGAGCTGTAGTAATAGCTTCAGTAGCTTGTTGTTGCTGACTTTGAAGTTCTTGTATAGAAGAATTTGATTTATACACCTCATCCTTTTTATGTGCTTGTAATTGGTGTTGCGGAATATTTTGTTGGCTTGTACTAGGTACGTCCGGTTGATTAGAAGTCTGGCGCTTAATTTGTGTATGGTTTACACTCTTATAATTGGTGTTTTCAAAAATAATTGTATTCACAGGAGTCGTATTACTATCCAACAATATTGATCCTTTATCCTGAGCTAATTTCTGACTTGCTAATGATGTCTTTTCAGCATTGTCTACATTTTCTTCAATTTTACAGTTATCGGAAGAAGCCTTTTCCCAAGTGTTTGCTTGCATATTCGATCTAGTATCCCATTGTTTGGGTTGCCGTTGTGGTTGAGGAACATTTTTGTTGTCATTTGAAATGGAACTTGAATTTATACTACTTCGATTTACTAAAAATAAACAGACAAATAAAAAAAAGTATTATACAGGCAAAAATTAATATATCTACCATTTCTTGTGTCAATATTAGCACTTCTAACATCTCTAGCATCAGAAGATGATTTACTTTTTGTTAAAGGCTGCACTGGTTCTTTATTGGAGTTCGAGTTTTGTTGTAAATTGGAATTTTGCTTAAAACCCAGCCCAGGTGGAGGTTTTGTTATCGAATTTTTTTGCTGAGAGTGTGGGATCGCCTGTGGTTGCTGTTGTTGTACTTGCTGTTGAGATTGCTGAGATTGTTGAGATACATTTCTATCATCCTTTTTATACTGCGAGATGTTGTTTCTATTTGAAGCAATATGACCTGAGCTTTGACTTCTTTGAGGCAATGGGGCCTGTTCTTTTTCTTTAGACAACGACTTTTTCCGTTCGCTGTCTTTGTCATCGTGTCTTAAATTTTGACTATCTTTTCTATTAGACGACGCCGTTGAATAATTTGAGCTTCGATCTGTTAAACCGTATTGTTTAGGTGGTGTACTTTTCTTTTCATCACGCTTTTGAGCCTGATTAATTGGTTGTGGAACGCTCGATGAGCTTTTATTAGTTTGTGGAGTTTGTTGCTGCGTTTCGGATTGTTGCTGCGGTGATTGTAAGTTATTATTTTGCTTTGTTGCTTTATCATCCAAGGTTGTCACCGGTGTGGACTCTTTCTTGCTCTGTAAACCACTTGTTAATGCCATTTGATTTTGCTTAACTTTATCTATATCACTATCAGTTTTGTTGATGTTGGATTTAACATCTTCCGATGCGTTTTGACTTGTTGAATTAGATTGAGAAGTGGCTGACTGATTTGACGAGTTAAAATTTTTGCTTGAATTTGAGTTATATTGTTCAGAACGCTTATTATTATTGCTGTTACTTTGCGAAATAGAACTTGACTGCGAACGACTATTTTCTGAGCGCCGATAGTTTGCACCACTTGATATACTTCCCCCACGACCTCTGCGTGAGGGCTCTCCACGAGGCGCAAAGCCCTCTTTAGTTTTCTCCTTATTCTCATTAGGCCCACTGCTTGAAGTCCTGTTAGTATCCCTCCGGTTTTGAGAATTTTTTTCATGTCTTCTTTGATGCCCTAATATTAATGAATATGTGTAAGATTATGCAAAAAATTTATCTGTAATTCATTATTTCAAAAACAGTACCTTCATCTTCCGATTCTGCAGAATCGCTCCAATCATTATAACTCCGATTTGTTCCGTAACGCATACCACCTCCTCGACGACTACTCCAACTATTTCCACCCCTATAAGAATTGTAACCACCACGATAGCTACCACGATTATCCCGGTTTTCTCGATTGTCTCTGTTATCTCGACTATCTCGATTTTCTCGACCATCTCGGTTATCTCGACTATCTCGATTATCCCGACCATCTCGGTTATCCCGACCATCTCGGTTATCCCGACCCTCTCGATTATCTCGACCATCTCGATTATCTCGACTATCTCGATTATCTCGACCATCTCGATTATCTCGACCATCTCTATTTTCTCGACCATCTCTATTATCTCGACCATCTCTATTATCTCGATGATCTCGACCATCACGATTATCGCGCATATCTCTTCCAGGAGGTCCGCTTCTCATGGGTCGTTTTGAATCTCTATCATTCCTGTCTCTATAATCTCTGTGATCTCTTTGATCTCTTTGATCTCTTTGATCCCGCAAATCTCGAGGATCTCTGTGATCCCGTTGGTCGCGTTGTTCTCTTGAGGTTTCTTGCCTTTTATTTACATTTTGAAGTTGGCTTTGCGGCTGATTTTGAGTATGTTGTTGCTGTTGTCGCTGCGGTGATGAATTATCCTCAAGCTTTTTTCGATCTTCATTGCTACTTGGAGTAATATCTTTCTTATTGTCATCTGCCCGTTTTTTGTCATCTTGGTCTGTTTTCTCTTCATTTTCTGTTTTCTCGACTTCCACAGTTTTATGAACTTCCGTTGATTTTTTACTGTCTTGAAGACCTGGGTTATGATGCTGTGCTAACTGGGAAGGGTTCGTTGCTTCTACATTATCTTTTAATTGATTATTTCCAGAAACATTTTCCTTTCTGTTTGAATCGGTTTGAGGACTTTCAGAACGACGTAAAATTTGAGTTGGAACTGGAGATTTTGATATGTTACGCTCTTTTACTTCTTCCTTAAAATCGTCTTTTTTAAGACTAATAGTGCTGCTTTCAGACAAGCGTTGTGGCCTCTGTAAAATTTGTTTTGGTTGAATATCCACATCTAGCGGACTTTCTCTTTTACTATGATGACTATTATTTGTACCATGATTATGTTCTTGACTGGAAAAGCTTTCGTTACGTCGCTTTTGATCTGAAATTAGATTGAACGCGGTATCTTCACACCAAGAGCTTCCTGAACGTATTGAATGAAAACTATCGTTCAGTTTGTTTGACTCATCATTAGATGAAACACTAGTTTTTCTATTGTGCGATATTTGCGATTGTTGGGAGGAATCATTTGACGCAGAAATATTTCTTGAATATTGACCTCTGTGACTGGTTTGTTCCTGAGATCTGTTACTATTATTACCACTATAGAATCGATCATCTTCTTCAGAATCGTTACCAGGTCCCCTCCTGCGACGCTCATACATTAAATTATCACTGGATGTAATATTTCTATTGTTTCTATTCATTTCATCCGAGGACAAATTCCTACGAATTTGCTGGTGTTGCGGTTGTGTCTTATAGTTTTGTTGATGCCTGTTATCATATGGTTGTTGTTGGGAGGAATATCCACCCATAGAATTTTTAGGCACTATCTTCGTGTCTGGAGGGACACGAGACAGCGATTGATTATTGGCAGTGATATTTCTGTTCTGATTGGAGCCTCCAACATTAGAATTCGCTGGTGTTTGCTGTTGTTGAGAACGATCACTTATTTGTGCAGAAGACCTGTCCCTATCACGTTCATTATTACTAGGTTGTGATTGTTGTTGCTTCAAAAATCTCGGTGGAAGATTTGTTTGAAAATGTCCGGAAAACACTGTAGTTTTCACTTCTCTTGCCTGAGATTGAGATCCCGTATTTCCGCTAGATAAATTACCACGATTATCTTTATAATTTGAATCGATTCGCCCATCCCTATTATAATACTTATCTGAATATTTTTCGTATTTATCATATCTCGAATAATTATCTTTATTATCTCGATATGGTCTTCCACTTCGACTGTAGCTATTATTATTGGTCTCCTCCTCTTTGTCGGTATTGTTCTTACTTTTGTTATCATATTCCTCAACATCTGAGTGGCTAACTGAGCCGCTCAAAACGTTGGATGAAGAAGCAGATTTTTTAGTATTCATTTTCAATTCTAATTCTTGTAATTTTTTTGCTGCCGCCTGTTTTCTCTCTAATTCGCGTTTATCCTCTTCTTCCTTGCGGCGCTGTTTTGCCCTTTCCAATAGATCGGTACTATTACTACTTACAACGCTTCGATGTCCATTCGTTTGCTGCGTTCGATCGATTTGTGCATTATTTTCACGCCGTTCCCTATCGTTTCTTTCACCACGATCTCTTTCAATATGTTCACGATCTGTACGATCTTTTTCACGACTCCAATGAGAAATTGCGCCACCATGAGAGTTAGGTAATCGAGTGTCGTCGTCTGACCTTCTTTGATTATGTCTCGGTTGAGATGACGACTGTTGTGTATTTGATAGTTGCTGACTATGTTTCTTTGCATCTTTTACAGAATATCCATGAGAACCACTTCTATTATCTTGAGAAGAACCTGTTGGAGAATCATCGTCTGAGAAAATCAAAGTTTGATTATAATCAATTTCATCATGCTGAGTCCATCCGTCATCTTTTGCAATTGAGTCCATTCGTTCTAAGTCTTCCTCTCTAATAATTGGGCGCTGCGTTAATCCAAGATCTGGTTCTATAAATGGAGGAGTTTCTTTGTCACGTAATCGCCCTCCACTTCCAGGTGCATATTGTGCAGATGGACGTTTCACATTTGCAGGGCCCGTTTGATTCCGATAATTAATGGGATTTGGTGAGTTAGTACGAAAATCTTTCTTAGCTAGAAAAAAAGAAATGTACAATCGTATAAGCAAATAATTTTTATTAAATACCTTGATGCATTGAAAAATTACCGTTCATATTAATTTGATAATTATTATTTATACCACCGCCACCAACGTGATTCTGTGGCGGTGTTATTGAACGTATGCCTCCTACGCCTCCTTGTTCGTTTGTCGGCGATGAATCTGTTGGTTGTGGTGCCCCACCTCGGCAAGCAAAAGGGGGCATCAATGCCAGAAATTGAGGAGGAATCGATGCAGTCGGCTTTTGCTGATTTTCTTGGCTTATATTTCCACTTTGAGAAATAGAACTTCCTCCATTTCCACCTTTTCCTCCATTTCCACTTTGCTGTTGTTGCAACCAATTCACTGTATCTGTTTGCGGTCTTAAACTGACGTTTTGCATGCCTTCTAAATTTCCTTCCGCACTTTGTTTTCCGCCGCCTGAATTTCCATCTCTGTAATTGTTTTGAGCATCTTTGTGGTGATGATTTTGCGAGATTTGTCGATTGTTGATATTGTTGGTCTGTATTTGTGGTTGAGCTGAATTGACCACGGTTGTTCCATCTAAAGATGGGAATTCGTGTTGAAATTGTGGACTTTGATATAATGGTGGTAACGATAAACCATCTTGTCCACCATGTGAACCTGTTGTGACTGAAGACCATGTTAGTGAATTATTATTCCCACCAGAACCAGATTGTTTAGAAGTATGTGAATTGGATTTTGTTTTTATACCACCGGAACTTCCACTTGTTATTACTGAATTGCTATTTATAGCGTTCAGATTTATTGAACTTATCCCAGTTGCGTTATTATTATGTTGATTACTTATATTAGCTGTTGCTTTTGATGATGTTGTTGAAACAAAATTATTTGTAGCTTGTTGTTGCTGCTGTTGTTGTTGCTGTTGCTGTTGCTGCTGGTTATGTTGTTGCGGTTGCTCTTGATGTTCTTGTTGATTTGATGTTGGAGATGTCTGCGGAGTACCAGACGGGTTTGTTGTTGTTGGTGAAGTTTCAGCTTTTATGGATGGAAGATTAGCCGGTCGCCGTCTAGCTGATGGTACTTTACCCAAGCTTTGCATTCCATAGTTTCGGGGTACTTGATTTTTTTGTTGTGAAGGCTCTAGAGATTCGCTCTAAAAATATTATAAATTTTGTTTATTAAATAAGATGCATTATAATATTAACCATAAAGCAAATAAACAGAAAAACCCACATTTCACAATTTAAACAATCCAATATTATAAAAAATTTATAATATGTTAAGTAAGAAAAAAATTATCCATTTTCGAATGAATAAAATGTGGCTTTTATATTTTTTTATTATCCAATGCTTTAAACTTACAAGGTTGCTATTATGTAATTCATTTATTCTGAATGCTGCGAATTTGGGCTTTGCTTGTCGCTCCCCCCTACTTCCCCCCAGAGTACTCATGCTGCCAGTGAATCCTCATCAGCGTAAGTAACTCCTTGCTGTTCTCAATCACCTTTGTAAAAACAAAGGCTTTTACTCAGTTCTATTATTAGGTTTGTATTAGCTTCTCAAGTTTTCACAAATGTTTTTTTTGTTTGCTTTCAATATTTATTGGATACGTAAATTTCGCTTCCCACAATTGATACGAACTTTTTAATATTATTACACGAATCAGTCTTTTGTTTTGGTCACTGAAAAAGATTTAAAATATAAAGCATACATATTTACAACAAATTTAAGAACAACATATACTGAATTGAGTATTAACTGTTTTTAAATGGTAAATCTGAAATTTTCCTTTTTCAAACATAGTTTATAAGTTATATTAGTGAACTGAAGGAACAATATTCGCGGAATAGTATACGAAAAACAGTAGTAAATGAATAAAATAAGTACTTATATATTTAAAAAACCGTAGAATCATCAATTCAATTAAGATATGAAAAAATTAGAAGTATGTAATATTAAATAATACAAAATGCTTTTAAAATTTAGGATAGGTCTGTTTTTTATACAGGTTAGATGCTAAGTATAAATTACAAACTTAAACTCTATAATAGCTAATAACAGTTACTTAAATAAAAATAAATTTTAAAGACACGTTGAATATACTTAATATACCTAAGTAGGAAAATTATGAAACAATTAAAAATTGAGCAAAAATAGCATTATTAGGAGTCTCTCAAAATCAAATCTGGCCAAAATTTTAAGAAAAATATTTACAAAAAAAAATAAAAAATAAATTACAAATAATTAAGATAAAATTTTCTCATGTTTTTTCAAAGCTTTAATTTGAGAAATGGTAATATTTTGCAAAGAATTTAAAAAATAAAATTCTTTGCATGCGTTAATTAACTCCAAATCAAATTTATAAGATTTTTGTAAACTAATCTGCAACATAGAAAGCATTATCTCTTAGATTGTAGTTTTAAGTACGACCCACCCTGCAGTATGTCAGGTTAATATGGTAAGTGAATACCTGCTTGCTTAATACTGTTTAATGTGGAAAAGATTTCTTTAACAAGCAATATATTAGAATTTGCTGTTTAAGTGAATAAGTAAGAGAAAACAAATTATTTATTTTATTTGGTAAGATTTTTACCGTAAATTCATTTGCATGTAATAAAATTACATAGATCAGTAGTACTCTCATACCAATATTACATACAAAGCACAATAAAAAAAAAAATTTTAACATTAAATCATGATGAAATTATTTATTATATTCAAATTACAAAAAAAAAGTAATGACTAAAAATTCTCCAGTTAAAAAAAAAAATAAGAAAGCAATATCTAAATTAGTTCATTTACTTTTCACAGGTAAAAGAAGGTAGGTATATATCTGTATGTATATGTATGAGAAAAATAACAATAAGAAAATTAACATATACCCATAACAATATATAAAATATTTAACTCAAACATACTACTACATTAAAAGAAATATGTATATTTATTATATGAAATAAAAATGATACATAAATTTCTTTTGTGTGAGTTCATGTGACTATTATATGCTACATGCACCAAACTTCATTATTCGTCGTATATATACATATATATATATATTTTAAAACAATAATAATAAAACAAAATAAAAACAAAAGAAAAGAAAAACTGCGGTGGCGGCGTCGTCTACACTACACATCTTCTTCTAAAAAATTTTTTTTTTTTTTTTATAAAACATGGCGATGAAATCAATTGTAAAATCTATAAGAAGTGGTATTATATATTTGTAGGTAACTTACCCACATACATATAGGATCTAACTATTTTATTTTAATTGCATATTAAAAAAAAAATTCATTTCCTAATCATTTTAAATTTTAACTATGTTTATATGAATGTATATATTATACTTTGTATATATTATTATTTATTATTCAATTCGAATGAAACAAAAATTTTTAATTTTTTAACAATATACATAATATTTTAAAAGAATGTGCATAGCTTATCGAAAATAAAATAAGAAAAAAAAAATGCTTAATAAAAATTGCAATTCTGAAAATAAAAATATTTTTTTTTTATATATTTTTATGCACCTAAGTAATAATTATGTATAAGATTAGTATTTATATTTATATATGTATATGTACATTATCCATACATATTATATGTATGGATGTTGGTGTATAAGAATATAAATTAAATTGTACTACGAATATATATTTTTATGTATGTATGTAAGTACATGAATACATATATTATATTGTTAATATTCTTGACGTTACAGTAAAAAAAAAAAATGGTTGAAAATAATTTAGGCTGAGACTGAGTGTAACTACTTTACTTACCTTTCGCCTTTTTTTTTTATGTCAAAAAAGAAATGTACTTTTTTTTTTGCTTTTGCAAGGTAGTAATTAATATTACTGTTTTTTATTTTTTTTTTTTGTTCTTATTTTCTGTCTAATTAGCTCAGTTATAAAAAGCGAATAACAAAACCGAAAAAAAAAAATTAATAATAAATTTCAACTTTAATATTAAAAATAAATAAGCGAAGATTTCATTGATTTCTGTTTTAATATTTTTTTTTTTTATATTATTTAACTTTTAATTACAATGATGATTAGGTAAAATAGGTGTATTTTTTTTTAATTATATTATCATCAATTGAGGAATTTTTAATTATATATTGTAGGTATAATTTTGGTTTTAATAACAATATTACAAAATACCTTTTATTGTTTTCTTTAAATTTAATAATAAAAATTCACAAAGGCGTTGATTTTTGTTTTTTTTTTTTCTGTGTAAGTATGATGATTTTTATTAATATGACACAAAAAAAAATGATTTGTGTGATTATTTCCTTTATTTTTTTTTAGTATTTCGTTTATTTTTTTATTTGAAAATTAAATACAAGAACATAAAAATTAATGAATTTGAGATGCTAAGCTACTCGTCTTAATAATTTGTGGTGTAGTAGATTTTTAAGATTATATGAAAATTTTGTTATTTTTTTTTCTTTTTGTATTTTCTTTATTTTGATTTAATTTTTAATGCAAAAAAATTTTAACTTAAAAAATTGGTTTATAAAACTGAAAAACTTTTCTCCCGTGGTGTTTAATTTACGATATTTTCACAATTTGAGAATTTTTGCAAATTGTTATTTAAAATATAAAATCAATTTTTTTTTATTTCTCTCTGTGTAAGTTTTAATTATATTATATATGAAGTTATGTATGTAGTTTTTTATTTTCTTTTTCTTTCCTTCAAAACAATTTGAATAGAATTTTTTTTTCTTGTTCGAAAATTTGAGGTTTCTTTTTTACCTAAAAGGTTTTTCTTCTTTCACTTATGTAGTTTATCTTATTTTTTGTTTTTACGTGAATGCCAGTATCTTTAAAAAAGAAAAATTGATATTAAAAAAAAAAAATCTTTTTTAGAAATTTTTTTTTCTTCTTTCACTCTTCCTTCAAAGTCAAAAGTCAAAAATCGTAATTTTTTAATTATAAATGCAAAATAAATTTCTCATTTCTCAAAAAGTTTTTTTTTGTTTCTTGTTTAAATATGTATTTAGATTTTATTGGAGAAAAAAAAACAAATAAAAATAGAAAATTATAAAAGACATAAAAAATATTTTTTAAAACAATTTTTTCTTTTTCCTTTCAAACTTTTTTTTTTCTTGTTAGAAAATTTTTTTTCTTTGAAATTAAAAAAAAAAATATGAAGAAAAAAAAACCGTATGGCTGTCTGCTGCTCACGCACTTGGAAAAAAAAAATTTTTTTTTCTTTTTTTTTTTTTAGCTTGCTTTTATTAAATTTGCTGATTTAAACACTTAAACTTTTTAATATTTTTATTATATTTTAATTATTTCACTTATAAATGATGTAAATTCACTTTTTTTATATTATTTAACTAATTTTTTCCTATTTTAAAATAATATTTTTTTTTTCTTTTTTCTTAAATAGAAAAAATGTTTCGCCACGACAGGATAGTAATATATTTTATTTGTGTATGAATGTATTGTGGTGTTCTTTATATATACATATATAAGATTTAAATGAAATTTTGATGGCTTTTTCTTTTCTTTTACATTAAAACAATATCACATACACACAAATAAATTTTCGCACAGTCAACCAATAAAAATCTTTTCAAATGTCAAAATTATACAAAAAAACAAAACATAGCCGCTTTCAAATTTTTATTATAAGTCGCAGTCGTACAAAATCTAATTAGAATATATGAAATTCAATCAAATATAATAAAAGACAAATGAATTAATTTTATATAAAATATATTTATTTATTATTGAATTATTATTATGTATTGTTAATTTATTTATAAATTTATTTTTATAATGATAATTTGGAAAATAAATGAATTTTGCTAAGCCGTAATAATGAAACGACTAGCCGTACAAAATTTTTTTATTTTGAAATGTCAATTTTGATTTTTATATCAAGAGACATCTACATTTTATATTTTTCCTAATATTATACCATCATAATACTGGATCTACATTTAAAATCTTATTTTGAGCTCTCGCCTTTTGCTAATTACAAAAGAAAGTTGTACAAAATCAAAAAATCATTCCTTTTCTAATATATATTTTAAAGGAAAATCATAAAGTATGGATTTAGTGTTATTGTCAAGAAATAATTTTGATTAGATACAAATACGTGTAAGAATTAGCAAGTGCAAATTTGACGTTAAAACTTGTAAATTGGTTGGATACTAATCGTGCATTTTGCTTTTTCATTTAAATTGTTATTCATCTTCAAATCGGAATTCGCATTTAAGATTACATATTTTTTCAATTGAATTTTTACATTTTTTCTTACATTATCAATTGTATTTTTCAAATTGAATTTGAAAATGGTAAAACGAGATACAAAATACAAAAAAAACCATCAATTCAAAAACCAAAACTTCTGGCATAAACTTTATACGAATTATAAACATGTGCTTGCGCATATACTCTTAAAATAATTATTTAAATACGAAATTGAACAAAATTAATCAATTGTACCTGTCAAATAGCAACATAAATAATTTTATCGTATACTAAACTTTCGTAAAATGAAAAATAAACTTCCTATTTTCATAAGTTAATCATTTACACGTTTTTAATTATTGCGTTCTCGCTATGCCATATATATTGAAATTTATTATATTGAAAATAAACGAAAACACTTTTAAATCAAAAAAATTTCTTATCCAGGATTTGTTTATTTAATTATTTTTTATCAATAAAGATACGTTTTCTCATCTTAATTTGATTTTTAAATGTCAAATTCATTTTTTTTTACAAACCTTCATGTCATATACATAAAATACGTAATATTTGCTTGATGTTTCCGAATAAAATCTAACCTAAATAAAAGCGTCAAAAAGTGGTTGTCAAAATAAAAATTGATCCTATGTTATACATATTTGAATATAAATCTTGACATAACAAATATATAATTCTTTCTCTGTTTCTCTATTTACTAAGTAATGCTGTCAGCTGTGATGATGTACACTATCGAAACAGAGGCACGCTAACTGCACAGAATTCAAATTTCCAAATTGAAGTGTTCGTTTTTAGAATTAAGATACTGCTTTAATTATCTGTTACAATAGCAGCTACATTAAAGTATACGGTAAAATTTTCATAAATAACAGCTGCCGTTAAAATTTCTCCTAATCTTTTTGTGCCTAATGGATAAAAAACTGCACATTTTAGAACACAAGAGAAAAATGTTTTCAAAGGATTTTCAATCTGACTGATTAAGTTCTACATCGATATGCAAATTTCTGAACGCATCTTTTTCGTAACACGTAACTGCGTTACGTTAGAATACGTTAGATGATAATAAACAAAACATAACGCTTATTCATTTTTTTATTAATTTGGTTCGGGTAGAGTTTTGAAAACAAAAAATGAATTTTTAAAACATTTTCATCAATTTATTTGTTTCTTTTCAAAAAACAAAAAATAAAAACATAGAAAAAAAAAATTACATAAATTTGACTTTGTTAAATGTTATGGTGGTAACAGCATATTTTGACTTTTCTGCAAGGGTCATAAATGCGTTCGTTTTTTTTTGTTTTCTTAAATTTATCCAATTTGTTTTCAAGTGTTTTATTTGTTTTAATTGTTAATTTTTTTTATTTTTGTCATACAGCTTGAATATCTACATGATAAATATGTTTACAGTAACTCTAATAAATTTGATTACAATAGTACATACAGGTTTCAAAAAAGAATTTACAATTATAATTTCTTTATTAGAAAAAAAACAAAAACAAAAAAGAAAAAGAAAATAAAATGAAAAACTAGATTTTTATTTTAAATAACAAATTCGATTCTCATTGTATAATACTTTCAGTACGTATAATAATTTTGCACTTGCCTATATAACGGTTAAAAGGTTTGTAGTTTTGTTGTTAATGTTTTCTTTAAAATTAAAATTAAAAATTTTTTTTACATTTTGTAATTTGTTTGGCTTTTTATGGCTTTTATTATATTTTTTTTTGTTTCATTTTTTCATTTTATTTTTTTGAATAAATAATTGAAGATTAACTTTAAATGCTTCTTTTTCAATATCTTCTTATACAATCATGGTAATAATTATTTTATATAATGACAGTTACTTTTATTACATTAACTTTTTTTTTATGTTTTTCTTTTTTTTTTTGTAATTAAGAACAATATTTTGTATGTTTTTCTAATATTTAATGAAAATACAGAGTAGAGTTACAGAGAGAAAGAATAAATTATATTTGAAAAATTTTATATTTTCGAATTTTTGGTTTTGAAAAATTCAATGTAAAATGGAAACGAAAAAAAATTAATAAATTCTGAATAATTTATAAATTTATTTTAATAGTTTTTAAAATTTATTGAATTGTTAAGGAAAATAGGAATAAAGATGAGTAAATCCAAGATTAACAATTAATTTTATTCATTATTTAAAAAACGAAATTCATATATATAACTTTTAAAAATGAGAGCGAGTTCGTTTTTGCAGCAAATATGTTTTATGCAGTAAACACAATAAGAAAGCACTTTAAACTGCAAAATTTGTCAATTGTACACAATGAAACTGCAACTGCAAACTACAACTTTAAATTTTTTTTCTATTTTTGCAGTTGGTGCCTGTCCTAGTGTTCTGTTTTTACAATATCATTTATTATTTTTTTTTATTATATGTTCTTATTATATTATTTCGTGCTGCAGCCTTATTGTGTTTTATAAAGCGTTGAGGCTAACAGTTTTGCAGCTATCGAATTTTATAGTTTTGGAAGCGCGTTTGATTGTATTTAAGGCATTACACGTCAATGAAAATTATAATTGTCAACGTTTTGGGAAGTCAATCTGAAATTCCAAAGTGTTTTCTTTGCAATTTGTTGTAGAAATAAAATTAATTTTTTTGAAAATATTATTTCAAAAAATAATATTTTCATGTTGCTAAAGTCGTTGAAAAATGCAAATGTCGTTCGCAATTTATTTGACGATTTTGGAAATCGTCACAATATGTAAACAATTAAAATTCCAACATACCTATTGTATGCAATAAAAAAAACATTATTTTTTTACATTCAATGTACATAAATTTTTCTAATTTCGAATTTAATTTCTTCATTATGTTTAATTCTTACAAATTTTTCTCTTATTTTCTAAAACAAAAAACAATCTTTTAACTATTACCCATATTCTGTTAGTCGCATCACTTGACGTAATGGGTTGTTATTTAAAAATCTTAATAATTTTCTGAGTAAAATCAATTTCGAAATTCAAAATTTTCTATTGAAAAACAAAATTTTTTCAATAATATTCCATCATTTCAAGTGATGCAACTAACAGAATATGGATGTATGTAATTGTTTACATTGTAATGAAAAAGCGAATTGTCAACTAAATATTTTATGAAAGCAATTAAAATAATAAGATTTTTTACACATATTTTTAGTTTACTGCATATAATCAAAATGTCAAAATTCAATTCTATCTAATTCGCACAGTTGTGCAATTTTCATTGCTATGAATCTGTCAAATTGACGTTGACTTAAATTTTGCGAGTAGCATTTTGTAAAATGTTGTTAAACGTAATTTCCTTGCAAAAATGAACTCAAATATATTTTGTGATTTAATTGTTATCTGAACTAAATAAAAATAAGAAAATTTATGTTATAGCGTACAGTTCAATTTTATTTGATCAAAAACAATAGTAAAGATTATATGTACATTCATAAAAATAAAAATATTTTAAAAATTAATTATTATACACAGTAGAATTTTTGTCTAATTCTAACATTTTGTTCGAAATGAATTTGAAATAGAGAATCATTAAATATGAGAAATAAATAAATATTTGAGAAAATTAAATATAAATTTATTTTACGTTCAAAATTATGTCAAAAATTGTGATTTTGAATATTTTTTTTTTAAATGACCTATTAAATTATCAAATAATAAAATTCAAAAAATAATTAAAATAAAATTAATATTATATATTTTTTAATATACTTTATGTTACAAAATGTATATTATATATAATTAGCCTGATAATTTTTTTTTATTTTCGTATAAATTAAAAATCTAGTATCCAATCGTATAATAATTTCATTTTCTAATTTCTACATAAAATAAAAAATTTTAATGTAAATTTTTATTAATTTTTTTTTTTTTATAAAACTAACACTTTAAACAAAATGCGTAAAAACAAGAACTCAAAAATTTATAAAATTTTAAATAAATTACGTAACAAATTTTTGTTATAGGTTAAGTATTCCGTTCGTAAGTCAAATTAAATAAGAAAACAAAAAAGAAAAGTATTCTCATTAAATTTTGGGGAAAGGCACGGGAAATTGAATTTTACCATATTTTAATCATTTTGTTAATTAATTTTTTTTTTTTTTAATTAAATATTTTAATTAATTAACAAACACTCATATTATTCATATGATTTATAAGAAATTGGTTTTATATTGTAATTTTTTTTCTTGTAATAATTTGTTTTTTATTAAAATGTATTTTTTTATATATACATATATATATATATATATATATAAATTATATAATGATAGTTTTATAACATGGTAATAAGAAAATTTCTTTTATTACTTTTTTTAATATCAGGAATTTTCCAAAAAAAAAAAATTAACAGGATAAAATTTGATTTTTCTTTATGTTCATAAAACGTCAAATTCAAGTTATGTATTTTGAGAGTTGAAGCTGAAAAATTAAAAAATTTTATACATCCAAGTTGATTTAATCAACTCAAAGTAGATGGCATCTATTAAAGTGTTTATTGGCAATTAAAGAAAAACGATCTAAGTCAAAAATTTTATTATCAAATTTTTTGAGTGGCACCATTTTCTTAGTTTGATTCGTCTAACTTAAAATGTTTAGAATTGGAAAAAATTTTGTTAGGATTTCTAAATTTGAATATGAAGAATTCAAAAATGATTTTTTTGGCTTAATCTACTTTATGTTGTTCTTCCTTATTACCACAGATTATTTTAATTTATTATTTGATTTTGACGTTAATGAACACAATATGGTTTTGTTTTTAATACAAAATAAAAATTTATAAAATTTTACAAAATATTCTAATTAAATTTTATTTAATTTTTGTTCAAAATTATTGTATTTTACGTTTCGCTTCGTTTTTTTTTATTTGTTTTTCATAAAAATCTAATTTATATTCTAACATTTTGTTGGTTTTTTTGTTTTGTTCTATAATAGAGATATGACATGCCAATAGCTAAAAAGACTTATTTTGTTAGTTTAATTTTTAAATTCTTAAAATAACTTTTGTTTTTATTTATTTTGTAATTTTATAGACTAAGTTGTTTACATTTTTTTTTTTGTTGTTTTCAGAATAATTTTGTTTTCTATTTCATTTATTTTATTTTTATAATTCAAAAATATTGTTAATTTTTTCAATTTTTTTCCCTTATTTGTTAACAAAATTCTGAATATAGAAAGAAAATATTTTAGTTTATTATTTTTAACATAATAATTAATTAATTAATTAATAATAATAATTAATATCTTTTGTTTTTTTTTTTTGTTAGTAAGTTGATTTTCGTTGTTGTTCTTCTTATTTAGATTTTCATTTTAATTTTATTTCACTTAAAAAATGGATTTGTCGAGGAAGATGATTTCATAGTACATAAAATTTGTCGTTCTAATTGAAAATCATATTCGAGATCTTCATTCTTTTTATTAACTTTTGTTAATTTATCCATTATCTAAAAATGTAATAAGTATAAATTAAATTTATTTTACTATACAAATAATTGAAATTATTTATGTATATACGTTATGTATGCGTTTACCTCATTAATACAAGCACCATTAGAATTAGAATTTTTGGCAAGATTTGGATGTAAAGTAAATGGAACACCTTCAATTTCAGTATAAGTTCCTAATGTTCCAATTGGTGTATAATGACTGACGGCATTATTAATATTATTTGTAGATGATGACGGTGGTTTTGGTGCTGGTCGTTTTGGTGATAATTGAAATGATGCTGATATTTCTTCATAATCATGTTCCGTTGTTGGAACTGGTGGCAGCTATTTTATAATGTTAAACAAAAAAAAAAAAGGAAAATATTAATTTTAAGAATAAAATATTGTATAAATTGTTAAACTTACTGGTTGGCTTAATCTTTTACTATTTAAATTAATTCTATTTAATGCTTTTTCTACTTCACTTGCAGTTGAATTTGTATTAGTATGTGAAACCAAAGGAACTGGTGGTGATTGTCGGACTGGTAATGTCCCCGTTTTATAACATACCAATATACCGTTTATTTCACTATATTAAAAAATTCAAATTAGAAAAAAATTTTTTATTACATGAAAATTTAATAATTTTACAATTTTTTAAAAAATATTTCATATAATTTCAATATTAAAATATTCAACATGGTAAACTTCAAAAAATATATCTACCACAATTGGTGAACTGAGGAATTTTATAAGGACATAATGATGGTACAGAGACATCTGTTAAAAAAATCTATTAAAAATTAATTTGGAAAAAAACTCAAAAATTTTAAAAATAAAAAGTTTCACTTATCTCTCGACTGAGGTTATATTCATAGAACGAAAAAAAAATTACAGCGAAATATGAAAAAATTTGTATTTTAAAAAATGGAAATACACTGTTATCTCTCGGCAGATGGCTCTGTTTCAACACAAAAACAATATTTTAGCGACATCTTGTGCAAAATGAAAAAAAAAAAAATCAATTTAAAAATAGAAAATTTGATTTATCTCTTGACAGATGTCTCTGTTTTTAAATCTAAAAAAAAATTAATTTGTTGAAATGTGACAAAAAATTTTCCTTTCGAATCAGCTGTTTTATGTTATTCAAAATTATTGAGAAAATTTTACAAATATCAAATTTTTTCTAATTATCAATTAATTATTTTTTTTTCTATTAATGATTGAAATTAAAGAATTATTACTTATTTTACCTAATTCCAATGATATCATAAATCTTACTGATGAAGGAACAGAAGTACGATATATTTTGCATGAAACCACAAAATTATTCGAAGCAAGACAATATGAAACCGAAGAATTCAAATCAAAAAATTATTGTAATTTAAGCTTTTTAATTGAAAGTTTAATTGAAAAGAAATGGGAAGAAATAAATACTGGTCATTTTAGTGAAGTACCAATAAAAACAAGAAATATTTATTCTTTAGCCTCTTATTTTACGGTAAGTAAAATTAGGACTAAGTTCATCTACCTTTGTATGTATATTTGAGTATATTTGCATATTATGTAGGTGTGTAAATATTTTTAAAATTTTGTATATTTTTAGATTATTTTCAATTTATTAAATGAGAATGCGAATATTGAAAAATGTCGTGAATATTTAGACAAAGCTATACTAATTGGATGTACTGAAAATTTATATGAAAAGAATGATGAATTCTTAAAAGCTTTATCAATTTATTTAGATCAACATGCAGGTAATGATCAGACCTTTCAAAATTTGCCTATAAAAGTTTTAATACCTTAATTTTTATATTTTAAAATTTTAGATTCAATTGAAGATTTAAATTTTTGTATAATAGAACCAATTAAATTTGAAGAATTTCCATGTGATATTTCAATTATAGATTCACCAACAATTATTGATTTTTATGAAAAATATTTTTTATTAAAGAAACCAGTATTAATACGTAATATAATTAATCATTGGCCAGCCATAAATAAATGGCGTAATTTAAATTATTTATTAAAAATTGCTGGAAATCGTCATGTACCAATTGAAATTGGTAAACAATATACATCAGAAAATTGGTCACAAAAATTAACTAAAATGAAAGATTTTTTAATGAGGCAATTTGTACCAAAATCAGAAAATACAAATAGTAATGATGATGATGAAAATTATCCAGAAATTGAATATTTAGCACAACATGAATTATTTGATCAAATACCAGAATTAAAAGAAGATATAAGAATACCAGATTATTGTTTTTGTATTGATAATAAAACTAATTCAACAACAAATTCAGAAGAATCTACAACAACCGATGGTATTAGATTAAATAAAAATAATGATATTGATATAAAAGCATGGTTTGGACCAGAAAATACAATATCACCAATGCATAATGATCCAAAAAATAATATTTTATGTCAAGTATTTGGTAGAAAGAAAATTATTTTAGCATCACCATTATATAATGATTTTTTATATTCACATGAAACGAAAATGTTAAATAATACATCAAAAATTGATGCAGAAAATTTAGATTTTGAAAAATTTCCATTACTTTCAAATGTAAAATTTTTACATTTAGTTTTACAAGAAGGTGAATGTTTATATTTACCACCGAAATGGTGGCATTTTGTAAAATCATTAAATAAAAGTTTTTCAGTAAGTTTTTGGTGGGAATAAAATTCTTATATAATTAATTATTATTAAAATATTTGAATATATATATAAAAAGAAATTCTTACCCAGCAAATTTAAATCCATCTGGAGCAGTCTTTAATTTGGAGCACAATATAATATCAGTTATGGCATAATTAACATTACCTCTTTTAGATAATTTATATGCAATTTGTCTTTTACGCCATGCTTTCTGTTCTGTATCAGCAGTTCTTGATAATAAAGAAAATTCTTGTGGTGGTGTCTCTTTTTCTGATATTATTCTAAATAAAAAACAAAATATATTAAATTATAATTGTAGTATTTATAAAATATTTTCTAAACTTACTTTAAAGTCTCTAAAACATATTCGGGTAGACCTTCAGTCTTTGAATAGCATAAATAACGTGATGTTTGACGTCCAAATAAAATATTTTCACGCCATAAATCTGCATCAGAATCTTGATCATAAGTTCTATTAACAGCAATAAAATGTTTTGGACATCTAAAAATAAGAATATTCATTTATCTTTTTAATTTTTAATATTTTTAATTTTAATATTAATTGTAAATGTAAAACTTATTAGTTTGCATTCTTAATTATCTACAATGTAATCCGAAACTTTATTCTATAAGGTATAAACGAAAAATTCCTGATTTAAGGAGCCTTTAACTAAAAAAATTTTATTCTTTTGTGCTGTAGTAAGATTTGACAGCTAAGCATATTATATGTAGGGTATGCTTCATGTATAAATTAACAATATTAACTGGACAAAGAAAATATCTGCTATGAAATCAGAGTTTATGAGACATAAAGATACATTCTAGTCTATATATCTCAAAAACTAGAATTTGAATTCATGCAAGTTCTAATTCCAAGTTTTATTGTGTTCTTTAAAATCCATCTATATTTTATTGTACATCGGGTTTAAAGTGCAACAACATCGTACTTTATTAGTAGCAAATTAAAACATACAAATGGTTACATTTCAAGAAGTTGAGCCACACAATGTGCAATCATCTTTCTTCTTATTTTAATTAAATATGAATTTAATTTATTTATTGTAATTTGAAGAGTTTGAATTCAGTTGGAAAGCAAAAATGACAAATAAATGAAGAATGAAGAAGTGAAAAAAAATATTAAAACGTGTAGTCCTTAAAATAGCAAATTGAAATTATATTTTTAATATTTTTCGTATATTCGTGTACTTATACAATAATTTTCGAATGGAAAATGATAGAATTGAAAGAAATTTTTAAAACAAAGGTACAAAAGAGAAAAAATTTTTTTAATAATTTCATTATTTTAATTTTTAAATATGCATAAATTGTAGGAATTTCATATTTCTTTTAGTTGTTTCTGACCATAATATAATGGAATAATTCGTCTTCAAAGTAGTAAAATAATAACTATGCAGATATTGCATATATGGGTCGGTAGGTACTTACCCATTTATTTAATACATAAGTGGAGATATTGAATAACCTTTTTTTAATATGTATGTGTTTGATCTTAAGGCGACTTTCACTAAATTTTTGAATTTTTGATTTCTTATTTTCGCATTTTCTCTCTATTAATGAATTGTGTAAACTAATAATATTTGTTGAAGAAATTATTCTGAATAATTTATATAGAAAAATCATTCCTTAAATTAAATGAATAAATCTAGATAGGTATACAGACCTACCTACCTATTTAGAGTTGTGCAACAAAGAATTAATACCTATATTAATATATAAATAATAGTTATGACTTTCATAATTGTACATGTGTAACGTGTATTTGTTCTCTATCTATTTTTTTTTCCTATTATTATATTAACAGAATACTAAGGCAATTATCAAAAATTATGACTCAAAGATAGTAAAAAACCAAACAAATACAATCACTTTTCACTGACGTAGACTATATTTTAATTTTAAATAATAGTTAGTATTAAGATTTCCGGATTCAAACGCAAAAAATATTTTTTGTTAAGTATGTAAGTATAAGTATTTAAAATTAAATCTCTTTAATCTACTTTTGATATTCAAAATAATTGGTTCTTTGTATATAAAATAATTAGATTTTATTAAAGAATCAGCTGCTTATTGTGAAATAATAATTTTCATCTATAATTTAATAATGAGTCTTAAGGAACCTGCTGTTTTACAGCTACCTATGTGGATACCAAGTAATATACCTAAATTTGAAAGCAAAATATTATGTTAATAGTTTACTATTATGCCATATCTACCGCTAACCAGTTAAAAAACTAAAAAAAGTCAAAAAATTTTCAAATTCTTGTTAGGTATTTACGAGTACTTTCATATACTTACTTTTCATAATCTTCAACTATTTGTAATGATGTAATTGGTCTATTATCCGGTAAAAAGCTCATTATTGAATTAATAACATTTTGCTGTTGAAATATTGGTTGTGAAGAAACATTGTTTTTCCCACCTTTAATCATCTTAATTTATTCTTTTTGAATCACACTAAAATAATATTATCACACTGAATAATAATAAGAAAGAAGAAAAACGAAAATCAAAGTTAGTCAAATTAAAAGGAAAACTTGTTGACATTAAAAATAAAATAAAACCTTTTTATAAATATATAAAAAAAAAACAACCGTCGTCGGGGAGGGAGGGTGTTAGTTACGGTAAGTAGATATTAAAATGTATAATAATAATAAGAAAATATTCTTTGAAATATAATTTGTGTAGTAATTTTATTTATTTATTTTAGAAATATTTTGGTTATCTTTACTTTTCAGAAATTTATTATTAATGATAAGCCCTTAGTTACATACTTAATATGTGTATGTGCATCAAAATATTGGTAGGTACATATGTAAATAAAAATTTTACCTATACAATGCACTTAATATATATATATGTGTAAATAAAAATTGCATAGAAATAGCTAGATGTTTATTCAAATATACTAAGAATTAAGTATTACTAAGAATATTTAAGAACTAAAAGAAAATTTTATAGAATAATTTATTTAAAAAAAATTCTAGTTATTCTCTTGCAAGCAATTAATTATTAATTTCAATTTAGAAAAATATTATTGAAAATTTCTTTTTCTTTAATTTTTTTTTTCACTTTTATAAATAACCATAAATGCAATATTTTAATTTGAACTTTCTAAATTCAAAAATTTAAATATTGGGTATGGCACTATGCTTAGGTCTAAATTAAAAAAAAAAATTTTCTTTCACTTTTCTTTTTTTTGGTTTTTTAGGGCGATAAAAGCTTATTGATTGTTTATTTTAGGAATCTGCACTCTTTTTTTTTTTTCTTCTTTTCACATTTCAATTGCTCTTATTTATTATACATTTTTTTTGTTTTCTGCTTTTTCTTGTGTTGTGTGTATGAATAGAATTAAAATTATAGATTTTTTCTTATTTAGAAAGAATTCTAACCAATTTTTTTTTCTTAAATAATAAATTTCTTTTTATAAATTTAAAAATGATTTGTAAAAATTTAATTTTTATTTATATATTTTATATTTTTATTTTTTTGCGTAAAGAAAATGAAAATCTGCTTTTAAATTATCGTAGTACTCCACTCACTCCACTATTTTTTTTTTTTTGAAAAAGTACTTAAAAAGACAACAACAACAAAATATAAAAGAACAAAGAATAATGTAATGTATTTTTTCTCTTTCCCGATAATGACTGACATGACACGAACAAAAGCAAAACAAATATTTGTCAAAGAAAACATAGAATTTGACATTATATTATTAGTTTTTGTTTTATAAAAATATATTTCTAATGATTTTAGCGCTTGAAAAAAAAAAACAAAATAATAATTTGATTTTATTTTATCATTCACAATAATAAAAAAAAATTAGATGGAATATAAAAATTGAAATGATTTGAAAATTAAGAATGACATAATAATGACCGAATTGAACTGAACACACAGCATAGTCCGATATTTTTGTACATTATGTACTTTTGAATTTCAAAAATTTAAAAACATATTCCAAGTAACATTGTTAAATTTGGCATTTAACATATGTGAATTGACAATAAGCAGACAAATGTAACATTAGAAAAAAAAACGAAAAAAAGAAAAATAATGTACTTACACATTGTCAAAATCAAAAATTCGAATTCGATGCGTAGGCTCGTAGGTTATTTGTATTATTTGATTTAAATGGGCGTAAACACTGTGCGCCCATTTAGAGTGAACATTTAGTCATTTTAAACAAATGAAATTTATTTTTTACAATAAGTAAATTAATTTTTTATGCATATATAGTTTTTTTTTTTAAATATACAATGTAGAGAAAAAAAAGTTTTAACAAAATGTCTTGACTAACTTTATATTGAATATTATTAACTTGACAAACTATTTTAATGCCTAACACAAATAAAAATTTAACAAAATCCTAATTTGGAATTATTTCAGAGATCATATTGGATTATTTTAAATGGTTCTGATAATTTAAAAGGTTGTCTGTCATTTTACATAAAATTATCATTTCTTTCACATTTTAGTTTTTATTAAATTGAATGTCAATATATTTAATAGAATTGTCATTCAACAAAAAAAAAGATTTAATGGATTGAGTAAAATAATATGAGAAAATAGATAAACAAATATGTATAATATTATTATTTTTGCCTTTTTTTAGCTGAAAAGCAGGTTTAACTGGCCTAAACTGTTTTAAATGTCATTTATTAAATATTTTTTCGAATAACATGACATATAATTTGATCGAAATTTAAATGAGAACGAAATGAGTACAATAAAAATTTATAATTTGAGAAGTGACTATCAAAGCAATTTCATTTCCAAGTCGTTGCAGAGTTGCCCAAGGAAAAAGAGTAAATGTTATGGTTTTAAAAATTAATTTGATATTGATAAAATAAATCTGCCAAAAAAAATATTTTAAAACGTACCATTTAAATATAACAATTTTCTGAACAATCTCCATTTTGTAAAACATAGAAAATCAGCTGATAACTCTTCTCAATATGCAACTGTTGTCAGATTAATGACAGATCATCATTATCCTTTTATCTAAAGAGAAATTTAAGAAAAACTTCTAAGTGAAATTTGGTTTGGCTTATTGTTAAACTAAAAATTATGATACATAGTTTATTTATTATTAATTCTAGCGGGTAAGTAATATATAAATTACGTAAGTTTCATGTAATATTTATTATAAATTTAATTAATTGATTTTAGAGATGTTTTTCTTGAAAAACATTGGAGAAGTGTTGTGTCGCGTTCGGTTTGCGATTATTTCATTGAAGCACAGAGAAGTTCTCCTTTGGTAAAATAGTTTAATCAGACATTTTTCAGAGTATGTGTATTGAATTTTGTTAACTTTTCAGGATGTACCACCTGTTATAGCCACTCCACACCATTATCTTGTAACAATACAGAGAGGTGGAATTTCGTGAGTTTAAAACAATAAAATATTAAAAAATATAAGGAATTTGGTAATGTAAAATTGATATATTTAATATTTTTAGTATGGTAGGAGTGTGTAAGCAGGAATTTCCACCATTATTCGTTATAGAATTTTTGCATAGAGTTGTTGATACTTTTGAAGATTATTTCTCTGAATGTACTGAATCAATTATTAAAGAAAACTATGTTGTTGTTTATGAGTTATTAGATGAAATGTTAGATAATGGATATCCTTTAGCTACTGAAAGTAACATTCTTAAAGAACTTATTAAACCACCGAATATATTACGTACTATTGCTAACACAGTAACAGGAAAATCAAAGTAAGTAAAAGTTTTACGCTATTAATTTAATTTTACGCTATTAATTTTAATTTAAAACTAATTAATGTTTTCAACTTCAGTGTAAGCGGTACATTACCATCTGGTCAATTGTCAGCAATACCATGGAGAAGAAGCGGAGTCAAATATACCAACAATGAAGCATATTTCGACATTATAGAGGAAGTTGATGCAATAATTGATAAATCTGGGCAAACAGTTTGCGCTGAGATATTAGGCTATGTAAATTCTTCATACTTTATCAAATATACTATGAAAATATTTTAGTAGAGCTTTAATAAACTTTGTATCTCAAATTAACAGATTGATTGCTGCATCAAATTATCAGGGATGCCAGATTTAACCTTATCTTTTATGAATCCACGATTGTTTGATGATGTTTCATTTCATCCTTGTGTCCGCTTCAAAAGATGGGAATCGGAAAGGATTTTGTCTTTTGTGCCACCAGATGGTAATTTCCGATTGATGTCTTATCATATTGGCTCACAAAGTGTTGTAGCTATTCCAATATATGTGCGACACAGTTTAAATTTTAAAGCTGGTGAGCAAGGCAAATTAGATATAACAGTGGGACCCAGAACAACTTTAGGACGAACAGTTGAATCAGTTAAATTAGAAATTCAAATGCCAAAATGTATTTCGAATTGTTTATTAACAACAACACAGGGAAAATACTCATTTGATTCAGTAACAAAGATTTTGCATTGGGATGTTGGACGTATTGATGTTACAAAATTACCGAATATTAGAGGAACGGTAAATTATGAGATTAATATTTTTTTCCCTTTCAAATTACAAACTTTATTTATGTGACATACATATTTGTATGTGACAATTTGTTATTTGATTGTAGATTTCTCCAGCTTCTGGTACAACAGTTATTGAATCTAATCCATCTATAAATGTTCAATTTACAATATCACAACTAGCCGTTTCCGGATTAAAAGTTAATCGTTTAGATATGTATGGTGAAAGGTACAAACCTTTCAAAGGTGTTAAATATGTTACAAAAGCTGGAAAATTTCAGATTAGAATGTAATAATTATAAAAATAAAGTAACTTTGTATTCCATTACCATTAATAATAAGTTAAATTCATAAGTTAAAAAAATAAATTAAAGAAAATATTAAGTTTACAAAAAGTTAAAAGTTAATTTGCAAAATATTCTTCATTTTTATAATATTAAAGACATAGTTTATTAATCGAAAAATTTTAATGAATTTTTACGTAATCAGAAATGAAATGATCTTGAAGATGGTCTTATATGTTAATCTACGTCTGTACAAATGTAAGTGCACCTTGTACTAGAAGGGACTTTGAGAAGTAGTGCCATGCATGACCAAGTAGAACAAAATCTAACTTTTAAAATTCATTCTTTAATCTTTTATAATTTAATAAAAAAGTAATGAATCACAATTTTTATGGTGAATTTTATTATTCACAAAAATATACATACAATTAATAGGTACATCGTATAGAGCGACGAAAATAAAAAAAACCAAATCAAATATAAATTTTCTCACATTGTCCCCATTCTTACACTGATAATATGAAAAAAGAAAAAGTTAAACAAAGCGCAATGTAATGTAACTAAGCTATTCTTATGTAGGTATCCATTTATGTATGTATATGCAATGTGTCTACGATCTTTGTATCATTCTATATATTTAAGTATGTACTCCTATACATACGTATTCGTATATTATGTGCATATTATGTTTATTTATACATATATGCATTTAAATTTAGAAATAATGTGACCGAAACCAGTTTTTAAACGTTTTATTTTTTTCTTTTATTTTATTTTAGTATAATTTTTTAACACTTTATAATCATCGTTCCAATATAAATTTTAGTATAATATAAATTAAATCCTCCTCAATTTCATATACACATCTACATAAGGTATGTGCCAACATAATATGCATCTATATAGTGTACAACAAAAACCTTTTTTTATAGCTTTTGATATTAAAAATTTAAGAAAGATTGTGGTATAAATACAAAAAAAAATTCTAAATGGCAGTAGCATTTTTCACAATATGATGAGTCTTTAAAATAAAACGAATGGGGAATTGATCTTGAAAAGAAAAAAGGTGAAAAAAGTAAAAAAGAAAATCACAAACTGGGCCCCATCTAAATATTACGTTTTTTTTTCTGTTTTTTCCCGAAAATTGGTTTCTTATATTTTTTTTTATTTTCATTTGTAGATTTTAAATTTTTTTTATGGTATAGATATGTGGGTATTCTTAATTTATTTATCGTATCTGTAATGATGAAGATTGCAGGTATGTAAGGAATATTTTTAGTTTCGGAAGGCATAATCAAATAAAAATATAATTAATTGCATATGCATATGTATAATCCTGCCAATCCCCATGGAAAATTATTGGACCCATGGTAGGATTTAATATGATTAAATAGAATTCTTGTGAAATTTTATTTGAAAAAGTTGACTTTAATCTGAAAATTTTATTTGAAAAAGATAAAAAAATTGCCCTTATTAGGTATATTGATTTTTAGAAAATTTAATTTATTAAATCCTTATTAAACTAGTTTTTTTTAAATTACTTTAAACAATTATTCGTATATCAGAGTTTACATTTCTTAGCTAGGTCTTCTTCTAAAATTTTAAAATTCTGTTAATTTGTTAATTAATAAAAATTTATTAATTTTAATTTAAATTAAATATTTAACAATATATTCATACATAATTATGTACATGATATGTAAAAGGAGTTGTGGGATGCACTTTTCTTGGCTTGCATACTTACAAATATACCGTATGCTTTTTTAACTGATCTTAATGAGTTACGAAAATGAATGTTGCTAATTTTTTTAATCCCTTAAAATTTATTAAAGTAAAAATTATAATAATATGATTGCTAAATGCTTTGTATATTTATGTATATACACGAGTATATTTGTATTTATGGTATTATAATATACATACATACATATGTATGTATGAATGTAAAAAGGTGCAAGTCATACCTTCATTTTTTTAACTTCTTCCTTTCGTTTGTCAATTTAATTTTTTTTTTATCTTGCTTTAAAATTTAAAGTCAAGATCTGAAAGATGAAATGAATCATATTTTTTGTTGTTTTTTTTTTTTTGTGGTTTAGAAAGCGTTTTGTATTTCACATGGAATTCCTCCATGATGATACTGTTTGGTAATATTTGGTTTTTTTTTTGGTAGTTGCTTTTCAAAAACTATTCAACATTTTCAGTTTAATAGTCATTTATTATAGTATAATAAAATAGTATGTATGTATATATACATAGATACACAAGTGTATGAAAGAAGGTTCATTTTATATAAGTAGATACATATAAAGTATCCACACATGTTCTTACATAGTTATCATGCAAATTAAAGAAAACAAAGAAAACGTGGAATTAATTATTATTTCGGCGGTCGTCTATACTAAATATGCTGTCATAAAATAAGAAGAAAAGAAAAAAAAAATAAACCAATAAGAGAAAAAATGTCGCGATTTCATTTTAATTTTTAAAGGGAATTTTATTTTTTTTTGGTATAGTTTTTTTTTTTTGTATAATTTTAGTTGTAATTTTATTTTTTTGCTTGATTTTATCGGCATTTGATTTATTTATAATAAAAAGAAATTGATATCCGTAAAAAGTGTTGTGTTATAAAATTAAGAATTTAGTGCAAGAATTTTTTATATAAGTGCTTATACATAATGTACATATATATGTATGTATGTTCATATGTATATGAAATTATGGCAACCAATGCTAATTGATCTTTAGTCGAAGGATATGCAATAATTATTGTTGTTAAATTTCTTTGAGAATATGTGTATAATACTCACTCGTGTATATACTGCGTGTGGATATATACATATGTATAAAAATGTATGCCCATTAAATATGTAAATATCAATATTATTTATTAATTTTACAAGGTTATATGTATATATGAGGTCCAATAACAGGATTCATAATTTATTTGTATATCACTTCGTTTATGAACATGTATAATAAAAAATTTTGTAAACTAATTTTAAGAAAAATTAATAGTTTTATAATATTTCGAATATTCAGATTAGAATTATATACAATTAAAATAATTATATACAATTAAAAGAAATATTAAGACAACTATGTAAGGCATTTGAGTAGGTATTTATTTCGAAATTAAATAAATTTTGTTTACTAATAAATTACTTTAATTCAATAATTAAATTAAAAACATCATTTTAGACTATAAATGATTGAAAGCTATGTGGACTCTTGTTCCATATTCAAAGCTATGTGAAAGCTATGTGAAAAATTGTGTTACTGAAATATTTACACGATTAAAATTAAATATTTTGAATTATATTATATCAAAATTGAATTTGATAATGAAATTATTAAAATTTTTAAATTTTCTATTCAAATTATAATACTTGTGTAGTTCTTCTAGAATTGCTTAATTTTGCGACTTTATCGTTTATTTCTTACGTATGTACAGATGCGTATAAGTGTACACAATGGCCTATTCTATTTCATATCTTGTATTATTTTTAAAAATTTTATGTTTTTCTACAATATATTTATATGTGTACATTTTTATAACAAAAATTTTTTATATAAAAAATAATAAATTTTAATTACCATCAAATTGAGCTTTATGATCTAGAAGAAAAATAAAATATATTCAATTATGTATATTTGTACATACTATATATACATATTATGTACATAATAGTATGCTATGCATATAAAAAACAAAAAAACAAAAAAACTAATATAGTTTAATTTTTAAATTACAAATAGTATCACAAGGTTACTTTTATACAATTATAACAATTCTCACTATAAATTAATTCTTATGGTAATTAAAAATAAAATTCTTTTATATATGAAAAAAAATTTCAATTGATTTGTACCGATATTTTAAGGTCAAAATTTAAAATAGATTATAGGGAAAAACTTACTTGTGTACTTATACAATATAAATTGTAATAAATCATGTACACCTTTATGTAATAAATAAGAGAAAAGAAAATAAAAATAAAAAAATAAAATTTAATTTAATTTGAAATAATCAAAAACGTATGTTGTGTAAAGAAAAACGTTTATTATAAATATTATAAATAAGGTTGCTATAATTGAAATTTATAAAAGATTTTGTTTTGCAGTGGTCGGGCTATTACTGTTGTTAATCATAAAAAATATGGTAATAATTTAAAAAAAAATACAATTATGTGTAATTGTAAATGAAAGAAGTCTTTTTAAATTCCAAAATTAAATTCTTCATTCATTATCATTATTATTTATCGAATTTTCTTTGATTTATTGAAATTATTTGAATTTTTTCAAAAGAACCCGTCCGTATACTTCCACACCATTTAAGATAGAAATTTTGTATATATAAATTAGCTTAGTTTATTAGTATTAGTAAGTTTCTAGCATGAACTTATTCCCGTAGTATAAAATTTTTATCTATCTCCATCCTTCTAAAAGTTATAGCCCCTTAAAGTCCCAAAAATGCCAGTTTTTGATTATTTATTGTAACCACAAACATTTTTTAAATAATGTAAATACAGAAAAGTAGTGGTGAGATTTTTCTATGGCGGTATAGCTTTGTTAAGCTTTAAAAATACAAAATTGTCGTTTAAATTAACCGTTGTCTAAGATCTGTTTTTTTTTTCAAATTTTTGATACCTCTGTTAAGGTGGGTCTATCAGGTGATAAGAGGTGAGAGCCTGAAATTTTAACAGGTTGTAGATACTTATAAACAGTTTAGTTTACAAGAATCAATTTTTTTCTACCTCGATCCGTTCTCAAGTTATCTCATTTGGAAATTTGTGAAATTTGAATTTTCTCAAGCTACAAGCTTTCCAAATTTCAATAAATGTAAAACGCTAAGAAGCCTCATTCTATATGTATGCAATTTTTCAAATATTTTATATGAATGAAAGTAATTTTAATAATATAATTGATTGATTTTAGAGGCAGTATTTGCACTTGTTGAAAGGAAAAGTTCTACTTTAAAAGCCATTAGTTTTGCCCAACTTTATTATAAATGGCGTTAAGTTTGCATCCTAATTTTCTTTATTTACAAATATTTTTTAAAGAGGAAAACTAAGGAAAAAGATAATAAAATTTTTTAGAAATACATAAATTAAATATTTCAACAAATTTTAATATTATAAAAACTAAAAAAAAGGGCATTCATTTAACTTATCTTT